TGAATGAACAAAGCGAGGGTTTTGCTAAAACCTTTTTGCTTCACCAGTTGCTGCTTAACCAGGGCCACGACCTTCTTCTCCTCTGTTTCTCAATTACCTTCTCTCTCTGACCAGATTGAGATGGATCCTTCGGGTTGGGAGCGTTACTGTTATGATCCGGTGCTGCGATGGAATCCTGAAGTTGAAGATTACTTCATCAAAGCTTATGGACCTGACCACTTTGCTCGCATTTCAAAAGCTCTCACGTACTGTACTTCGCACCATTCTTATGTAGTTATGCTTTTTGGTTCTGGTGGATTCGCTTATTCATTCCCGAATTTTGCCTGAATCGAATTGAAATTTCATTGGTTTGCTTATTGTAATGGTGTGCATTGAAACCTATCTGTGTGAGCTTTTATGTACATGTTCCCACATGTTTGGGGTTTCAAATGTGTCTTATGTAGGATAATTCTTCTCAAATTGGTTACTTCGCGTGATTTGCTTATTGTATGCATTTAATTTTCCGGAGTTTGTCTTCTTTATGCCATGGTAACTGAATTAACAAAGTTCCTCACCTTCTTCTTGGGTCTGCACTAGTTAGTAGTGTTGCTACATTTTGTTCTACTCTCATTTTTGTTCCATATTAGGCGCCCATCTTCCTACTCCTGCATTCGGGTGAACACAGTTAAAACAACAAGTGACGCTGTTATTGAAAAGCTTACCAAAATCTTAAATGACTCCGAGGATGGCTTGAAGCTAGTTCAATCAGATGGAAGTAGTCCGATCTCCAAGTGTCAGATACCTGGTTTGGAATATGTTGTTTTCGTCAATGGCTCAGGCCCACATAGAATTGAATACGAATCTGGCCTTGAAAACCCACCCAAGGAGGTACTAGTGAGCAGGAAGTGTGCTGAAGCAGTTCTTAGAGGAGCCCAGGTAAACTTTATTTTCTTTCAATAAAACTGTATCATGCTTCAAGACATTAGTGGCTACGAATGGCTCACAATGATGCTCACACTGATTTGGGCTTTAGGTATTCTATTGAGAGGTTATTACAAGTAGCTAAGCCTCTTTCCTAGTCACTATGTTGTTGGATTGGAGAATGAATTGAATCTCTATATTGGTTTCTTTTTGTTTTTATAGTTTTTGACAATCTAGATGAGAAAGCCCGGGCCATAGGCAATTCTGTGAAAAATGAAGGAAGTTATATTTCTCTTATGGGTCCTGTTGTAGGTCTATGTTCCAGGTGTACTGGCTTGCACTGCCCATGTTGAGAAAGGAGATGCAGTTGCTGTCTGTGTTGCTATGGAACAACCTGGTGATGAAGGTGACTGGAGTGTTAATATGACTCGTGGGACCACCCTTCAGGGTTTACCAACAGGCAAGAATCAGAGTTGTTCCCTTTTGCGTTGGTCACATATCATATGGTTGACATATCATATGAACTGAAATATTTGTTCCTGTTAGGTTGTTCTTTTTGATCAAAAGTGCTATTGTATTAGTTATAAAAAAACAACTTGTGGCAGCCAAAAGAGTCAACAAATTTACTATCTGGAATGTATTTTGGCTCAAAGTTACTTGCATTTGATAGATTGATTCTCTTTCAATATTACCCTCGTATTGGATAAGCTTGCTTTCCAGTAGCTTGGCTTGAATGTGCTGTAGTATCCATGGCTGTTAAATACGTTTTAGGGTTGCCAACAACAACAACAAAATCTTGTAAACTATTTTGAAGCTAAACAGTTGACATGTGCTGTAGTGTTATTGTAGATCCTTTCTATTGTGAACGCAGTGGGCTATATATCGGCATGGGAACAACTATGTTGTCAAGGGCTGGGATGTTTCGTGTTCCTCATGGAATTGCGGTGGATTTGAGCAATAGAGTTTTCAGATTGCCTTCTTTTCATAGTAAGCTTCTTCTTTTGCCCTAGGTTTGCTTTCTACTTCAGCTTACAGTTTATGACTCTCAGCATCTTATTTTATCATGGGGTATTGCTCTTACATTGTTGTTTTGCCTCCATAGATGTCCTCGAGGGCGAAATATTTCTTCAAAATCTGCCAAGTATTGTTGCTGCTCATGCTCTTGGTAAGTGCAATAACTTTTGGTCTACCTTCATTATTGCTATAATTTGAATAAATCCATAATTCAAATATAGACTACTATATTTGAATTTAGTAGATCCTAGATATGGATGAGAAACTTAGGGGATATAAGATTGAGGAAATTTTATGCTAAATTTTTATCTTGGCCCAGATCCTCAGAAAGGGGAGAGAATATTAGATATGTGTGCAGCACCAGGAGGGAAGACTACGGCAATCGCTATACTTATGAAGGATGAGGGAGAGATAGTGGCAGCAGATAGATCCCATAACAAAGTACAGTTTATTATAACCACATAGCCACAACCTTTTGAGTTCCTCACATAGCTACAACGTAATATTGAAACAGACATGGTTTCAGTTGGTGTTTACTAGCTGACCTGTGTACATTGAATGCTTAGAATACAAAACAAAAGTTCTTGTTGGGATTGCAAGATTACCTGCTCTAATTAGTTCTTAATGTTTTCCAAAAAGTAGGTGCTGGATGTCCAGAAGTTGTCTGCTGAGATGGGATTAACTTGCATAACAACATATAAATTGGATGCGCTCAAATCTGTTTGTCTTCCAAACACACTCAATGATTCGACAGCATCAGTCAATGGTGAGAATAGTGTTCTCTTGACCAGCCATTCTGAATTATCACCGAATGAAGAAATGGCATCTGATGCTTCTAAAAGATCTGAGGCTGGCAAGTTGCGTGAGGAAAAGGGTAATTAATATTCTCTCTCTCATAGTGTGTGCCTCTGTTTGCTTGCCATGTTTGCATTGTCCTGCCCCCTTTGTTGAGAAGAAACTTAGCTAGCACTCTGGCATCAAATAGATACAGAACATAACCTTACTGAATTGGCATCTGTAGCTCATTATATCGCGTCTATGCATGTGCTTATAAATAAAAATCCTACACATATAAAGATTTTGAAGATAACCTTGATTTTCCCATTTTACCCATATTTTAGCCAGCACTGAACAGCTAAATGGAGGGGATAATGTTAGCCAAGCTGACATCAGGAAGAATAAGGGAAGGTTGAAAAATGGTCGCGGAAGAACTCAATGCCAAGGTGGAAGGGCTGGAAAATCACAAGGTTTCCCGCCTAATAGTTTTGATAGGGTCCTTTTAGATGCTCCATGCTCTGCTCTTGGCTTAAGACCTCGTCTTTTTGCTGGACTGGTAAGATAAGTTTAAGACTTTAGCTGTCTAGTGTGAGCTACTTTCCGTGATTACACTTGATTGCGCAACTACTTCTCTTGAGTTAAAGTGCCTAGTATTTGTGTCAACTTGTGGATAACCTTAGCTTAAGCACTAGTATGTGTCGGAAATTGTATTTCCAAGTAGCTTTTTGAAGTAGTATGAATCCTGTTATACTTGAAGACTAAAAGTATCTAAGTGTGTGTAGTAATTCGGAATGGAATCTGTGTTTATTCCTTCCTCCTTTTTTTAAGATTGTTCAGAGGGTGGTGACATGTGGAATGACTTTGCCTTTGTTATTTCTTGTAGGAGACTGTTATATCTTTGAGAAACCATGGAAGGTACCAGCGGAAAATGTTAGACCAGGCTGTTCAATTGGTTCGCGTTGGTGGGATTCTTGTATACTCAACGTAAGTATGCAAACATTATATGAAATTTCATTGATTCTGAATTTTCGTGATCTGCTTTGCAAGTAGGCCTAACAACATAGAATGAGATTCCTCTGTCACACAGTCTTGAGTAATTGAGAGTTACTACACTCTTACCTGTGGATGATTTGTTTTCTAGATGCACAATTAACCCTAGCGAGAACGAGGCAGTGGTTCGCTATGCTCTGGATAAATACAAATTTCTTTCTTTAGCACCACAGGTTTGGATCTAATATACCCTTTACGTTTGTCGAATTGAAAGCATATGAATATTTTAAGTAACTGTTGAAGATCTTGGCAAGTATTGCATTAGGATTCTGTTCTTCGTCCTAATGTATCTTCATGTGTTTGCTGTCTCGTTGCAGCATCCAAGGATTGGAGGACCTGGTCTAGTTGGTCGATGGGAATTCCCGGACGGATATATCGAGTAAGCATCTATACTCACTAGAATGATCTAATATTCAACAAATCAAAACTTAAAACATTGGTGATATTAAGAGATGGCTCTCGGTCGTAGATGATATATTCCATTAACTGGACCGAGTTAATTATGTTTTGCAGGGAGTGGTTAAAACCCGGTGAAGAAGAAATGGTTCAAAAATTCGATCCATCATCTGAGCTCGATACCATCGGGTTCTTTATAGCTAAATTCAGCGTCGGCTCCAAGGATTAGGATCATAAAATGCTGATTCCTGATCCAAGAAAATGGTGGTTT